GATTGAACCCATTTATTGCGAAGTACTGGGAGGTCTATAAGCCCAGCTATTCATAGTACAACAAGCTTTGCTGGTAACAGATGCCACGATTTAGGGCCCGGGAATCTGAGTACAATTTGCAGCAGCTTGCGACTAAAATGTCTAGCGCCATCACGTGACAAAATATAACTGTTTCTTTGGTCTAGTCATTCATCCGAAAAACCCGGAGTGTTAGAAATAAAATAAGAACGGAGACGTTCACCCAAACGTACAGGGGAACAACGATTCAAGGTGTATAAACCAATATTATCGACCCAAGCGAAAAAAATATGTATCAGCAATGATTTATAAGATCCGCTCTCAAGCAAGTGGTGCGATACATGTATGCGATAGAGATCTAACAAGAATTAAAGAAAATAATGCAGGCAGCGAGATGGTCACAAAATCGCACAATAAACATTGAAATACTACTGCAAATGAGTGACTATGAGAAAGAAATGGTAATTGTATCTTTGAACATTCGCATGTACTCACGTGTAGTTATGTTTATGCAAATTGGGTCCCAGATTTCCCGTTTAAATAACGAACAGAGCGTGATGTTCATAAAGAGTGTTCTTAGAGGACCCCCCCTGTGTATTTGAGTTAAAAAAAAACTATGGCCCATGTATACCCGTGATGGGTATACTCCTATACCAGTGTTTCTACATTGTGTTGTCTGAGACAGGTCATCATTATTTAATTCAACAACTACACATCTATCACGATAGAAACACTATATAAAATAAATAAAATAGCATTTTCAAGCTTTGTTTCACCACAGGTGGCGCTCTTCTCTTTCCTCTGACACAAGTAATATAAGAACGGTCTCAGCACCCGGGGGGGTCACTTTATATGCCGTTACGACCCCATGTGCGTTCCAAATTTAGCGGGAAAGCAGGGTGTTTTTCGCCTTCTAAAGCGGGCCCGCGCGGGGGGCAAATAGGCCCCCTTTAAAATGCCAATGTCTGCAATAGGCCCTCAGAAATAAACTCACAGGGTTGCTGCGCCCGCTGTAGGCCCCCTCTTGCAACAACCACTCCCATACACCGCCCTAGGCCCCGAATTGGCGGGCCCATAGCCCTGAACAGGCCGCAAACGTCCGCCTGAACTTTACCACCGGACTTTCCCGCCACTCCCAACACGAGCATAAGGAGGCTTATTATAATCGAAGAAACGAAACGAAACGAAACGGGATAATACACATAATGCAATCACGTGGCGAAATAAGGGTCTTACAGGTACAATAATCACAACTATCGGACGAAATTTGACCAGTATTTGTACCTTTCAGTCATGTATGAAACTTCATAAAACAATTATCTATAATTAGCGAAACGAACCAAATATACTGGTCAAGTTTTGACCGACAATAAAAAATTATTAATATTGTACATGTAAGACCCTTGTTTCGCTGATAACAGATTTTTGATTATCTGTAATTAGCGAAGCGAGCCATATACGTATTAAATATTATTATTTTCGACAAACATTTTGTGAATATTGTGCATTTTCACTGATTACAGTTTAATTTTCATTATGTGTGTTATCCCGTTTCGTTTCGTCGATTACAATAAGCCGCATGCAGAAAGTCATCCCCGGAGTCATCCAC